TCATTAATGTACAGCACATGAGAATTTTCTGCTGGGTGCTTTCCATTTGTGCCATTAGCCAAGGTGGAGGAAATGAGCTAGCCTACAAGAGAGTTTTCAAGATGCTTAAATTGGGTAAAAGTTTTAAGGGATGTGTAAAAATAATACATTGCTTAGTGTAGAATGTATGCCTGTAATTGCAGCACTCAGGAAACTAAGTCAGGAGGATCACCGAAAATTTGAAATCAACCTAGGCTACAGAGTGGGTTCAAGGCCAGCATAGACTGTATAACTAAGCCTTATCTCATAAATAAATTACAATTCCAGTTCCAGGCTTATTGAAAACCTCATATATTAGAAAGCCCTTCTTATTTTTGGTTCTCTACAGATTTATTTAGGCATTGGCAATAAAACCTCTTCATAGTTAGAAAAACTGCCAAGAGAAGGGAGTGAGACAGTCATGATCCAATTGACCTTTTCCCATCCCTAAGTTTTCTTGTTGATTATAACTTCTGGAGCCCACAAGTAGGCTACCATATTTGAAATTATCCCGGGGTAACCTTCTCCCAGGGATATCCCTTTTTTTAAAAAAAATCTTCTTTTTTTTTTTAATTTTGAAGAGAATAAAAACAAATAAAATAGAACAGAATAGATTCAGTCAAAACAAGACAATGAATTTGATATAGTACTTCAAAACATGATAAAAGAAAGTCAATAATGGCTACCATAATGCCTCTTGAAATCTTCAAAGTAGCTGTCTATACTATCAGACATAATAAAATCAAACAAAACAAAATAGAATAAAATCAATCAAAACAGAACAATGAAAGCAATATAGGGCTTCAAAACAAGATAATAGGAAATCAATAATGATTACCATAATATATTTTCTTATCTTTGAAACATCTGCCAATGCCATCAAATTTAATAAAATCAAACAAAACAACAATGAAATCAATACACGGCTTCCTTCCCTTTTTAGACATTTCCTCTCCTTTCATTTTCACAATATCTGTTGGGCATTTTGGATCCCACTTACTCCTTTAGTTTTTTATATTAGGGAGACAACATGATGTTCACCCATGTGACTCTGAACTATTTCACCCATGAGCATGATTTCAAGTTGCATCCATTTACCTACAAGAGCTACAAGGTTCTCTTACTTTATAGCTGAGTACCTTTCCATTGTATAAAAAATGCCATATATGAAAGCCTAGTCTGGGAACCAGTGCCATGCACAGGCTGCTACTGGACCAGGAACAGCTAGACCCAAGCCTCTCCCTGTGAGTCAGCACCATTTGTGGACTGGGGAGAAGAAAACAAAGGCGCACCAACAAACAAACCCAATGTGGGAACCAGCATCATATGTGGGCTACCACTGGACCAGGAACTAGCCCCAAGCTTCTCCCACTCGTGCACTTGGGGGAGACAGAATAAAACTATACCAGCAAATGAGCCCAGTCTGGGAGCCAACATCATGTGTGGAAACTTGGAAAATCCAGACCTAGCCCCTTCTGGCATGTGGGCTGGAAATACAAGAAGTACCAATCCCCCCTACCCTGCCACACACACCCTGTAAGCCACTGGCTGATCCAGAGAAACACAGGCTGTGAGGATAGCTATTGTAGTGAAATGCAATTGTATGCCTGTGGAGTTTTGGTGTTTTACTAACATTGCAGGTCTAGGGCCAGTGGTTTGATCATAGGTTCAGAGGATAGCGGTACACAGTGTGACATCTAGGGGGATCTCCTTCTGAGGGTTGCAGCCATTGTTGATTACCTATGGTCTTGCTTTGAAGTCCTGTATTGTTTCCATTGTTTTATTGGGTTGAGTTTTATTCTCTTTTGTTTTGATTATGTTAAATCTGATGGCAGGAGCAGCTATTTCAAAAATAGATATATTATGGTAGCAATTTTGGATTTACATAGGCTTGTTTTGAAATCATTTATTGCATTCATTATTTTGTTTTTAGTGTTTCTATTCTATTCTGTTCTGCTTGATTTTTATTATGTCTGAAGTTATCTGTAGCTATTTTGAAGACCAAAAGGCATTATGGTAACTACTGTTGATTTTGTAATGTCTGAAGTGCTGTATCTTTTCCACTGTTTTTTATTGGTTTTATTCTGTCTTATCCTCTTTAAAATAAAAAAAAAACATAAAAATGTCATATCTTTTCTTATCCATTGTTCAGTTGATGAGCAAACTACCCCACAGTTTTCTGGTTTCCTGTTACATACAACATTGTTTTCTCTCCTTTGAATTTCTTTTTTAGTTAAATGTGTTTCTTGTATAAAGTGTTTTAATGGATCCTGTCTCCTGATCCATTCTATGTTTTTTTAATTGGTGAATCAAGGCCATCTATATTAGTGGTTATGTCCACCATGCAATTGCTTTTCTCTGCCTTGCTATTTTCCTACCATTGGCTGCCTACTTTTCCCCTCCATTAAGTTGATTTCCCTGCTTGACAATTCCCCTCTGCTCCTGGAACTGCGGTAATTTTTAACTCTTTCTAAACTGTCCTTCGGTATACTTTGTAGGGTTGGTTTGGAGGCCATGAATCCCTTCAGTTGTTCTTTGTCATGGAAGTATCTTGTTTCTCCATTAATTTTCAAAGATAGTTTTGCAAGATACATCAGTCTGGGTTGAAAGTTGTTTTCTTTCAGGATTTGAAATACTTCAACCTCTTTCTGACTTGATGGTTTGTACTGAGAAGTCTGTTGTGATTCTGATGGGTTTTCCTTTATAGGTGATCTGTTTCTTTCTCTAACAGCATTTAATATTCTGCTCTTGTGCTAAATTTCTGGGATCTTTGTCATCATATTTCTGGGTATAGATTTATTTTGGTCATGCCTCGCTGGAGTCCACATGCCTCACTTATCTGTATGTTAGGTCCTTTTGGGGAAGTTTTCTGCTGTTTTATTTCTGTAAACAGACTTTTAATGTCATTTGTGTTGACACCCTTTTTTTGCTGACATCTATTATTCTTAAATTATTTTTCTTTGCATTGTCTTGCAACTGTTGAATTATTATTTCCTGTTTTATTGTTGTTTTTAAGAGATCTTTCCTTTTGTAATCACTAGCTTCAAATCTGTCTTCAATGCCTTAAAGTTTATCTTCAGTTTCTTTCAAGTGATTTTTCCAGCTTTCAATGGATTATTAACTTCCTGGATATCTCTTTGAATGTGTGTCATGCATTCTAAATTTTCTTATATTGTTCATTCAAGGTTTCCCTTATTTTCCTATGCGCCTCTATTTTTTATCTATGTCTTCTTTAAAGATGCTCAGCAATTCTTTTATTATGCTTTTCATTTCTTCTTTTACCTCAGATAATATTTCTGTTCTAATTTCTTTTATAGTCTCATGAAGTTGTCTCTTTACTTCATCTGCCCTCACTTCAGAAACTTCAAGTGTGCAATTCCCAGGCTCTTCTGTGTTCACACCTCCTAGAGTTGCTCTGCATGAGTTGGAGAAAAGAGACCGCCCTTTGCTTCTTTGTCTTGACATTTTATTAGGTTCTTTAGAAAAAGTGGGTAGTGGGGTCCCAGGAATTTCCATGTGGCTACAATTTCTCCAGAGCATGACTGGCCGGTTCTCCTGGTCAGCTCTGGCTATGAATACCAGTGGTGGCCATCGGGTGCACTGGTGTGGGGTTGGTTGCTGCTTTTCCCAGCTTGTGCTGGCTACTGCTGGGAAGCATCCTCGGTAGCTGCTGGTGTGTGCACAGGGGCAGGGTTGGCCACTGCTTCCTCCACCAAGCTGGTTACCAGGACGAAGCATTCCAGATGGCGGCTCACCCTTTTATATCTTTCAAGTTTAGGGAAACTTCAGAATCTATTCTTTATAATTTTCATAATATTCTTTATAATTCTAATAATTTCCAAATTCAAAAGTTTGTATTCAGGATTCTTATTCTTTTTCAAGTTGATGAAACTTGATGCAGTGGTACTGTACAACATTTTGTTTTGGAATGTATATTCACCATGGAATGGATAAATGAAGCTAATTCACAAACATATTACCTTACAGACTCACTTTACTGTGTTAAGTACATGTCAAGTCTACTCTCTCAGCAATTTTCAAGTATATAATACATTGCTCTTAACTGTGTTCCAGGATATGTAACAGACCCCCAGAACTTCATCTAACTGGATTTTTTTTTTTTTTTTTTTTTTTTTTTTTTTTTTACTTTTTGACAAATATCTTCCATTCCCACCCACACATACACCCCAGCCTATGGTAATCACCACTCTCCTCCCTGCTTCTATGAGTTTAACATTTAGACTTCTTGTGGAAGTAACATACAGAATTTGGCTTTCCATGCTTCACCTACTTAATTTAAAATAATGCCCTGCATGTTCATCTGTGCTATTGGAAATGATAAGATGTTCTTACTGTTAAGGGTCAAATAATTCATTTTGTACATACACCACATTTCCTTCCTCTTTCTCTCCTATTGCTTCTCCAGCCTGCCCTTTTGTTCTGGAAAATAGTGCTTCCTGAGTTACAAAACTTTTGGCAAATGAATGCAGTACTCTTTAATTAATAAATTAATATTTCTGTTAGAGTCATATATTATTTTAGTGATAATGTTCACTCCATAAAGCATATAAATGCCAAGTCAAAACATTGTAGTTTTTAGCAGAACAAGTTATTTTATACAAATTAATGTCTTTAAAACTATACAAGTCTTTTTTTCAAGTGAGTTCTCTTTTTGTGTACTGTCTACAGCAGCAAAGAAACTATTTGTTATATCACATTTTCTTTAATCATTGACCTGAGAATGAACACTTGGGTTGCTTCCATATCTTGGCTATTGTCAATAATAGTATTATTATTATTTTTTAGTGACACACATTTCAAGAACAAAATTAAGAAATTAGCAAAACATAGTGAATCAGTTATAAATATTTAAATAAGATGAATCTATGCCATTGACCTTAGTTTATAAATTAGTTGCACTGTCTGTTCAGGAAAGTAAAAATATCCCAGAATTTCTAATATTTTGATGTTCAACTGCATTTGTCAATGCAGAATGATACATGAATTTGCATGTCATCCTTGCACAGGGCCCATGAATATCTTCTATGTACTGTTCCAGTTTATAATATTGCTGTCTAAATGAGTAACAACTACACTTACCCCATAATTATTTTGTCAGAAATATGGGCATATATTTGGGGTCAAGAAATTATGCCACTATTTACTGAAATTGGATTTTTTTTTGTAGATGGCAAAAATATCATTTAGTGGCTTCCAGCCTGTCAGAGGAAACAAGTGTCTGCAAAGAGAAAACAAATTCTAGAAAGCATGAACAGTAACAACTGAGAAAGTGTCCTGGAGTGAAAAAATTGGCATATGATCTGACCCTCAGAGACACTAACTGTTTTATCAGACCGCATGCAATGCTAAGCACAACTCTTTGAGCTTTTCCAGCTCAGCCTTTCTGATGTTCTGTTTTATTGTTTTTCAGAAAGGAAAATTAGGTACTGGAGAAGTTAAATAACTTGGAAAGTACTACCGTTATAAAATGGCAGAGCTACAACTCAAATGCACATCTGTGCATTTTTTGAAGCTTCTTCACGACAATAATACTTTCCTAAAGAGACAGCAGGATTTATATCTGGTTGCTGCCAGTGAGCTCCTGATATGGCTCAGGATGAAAGCATCAGCTGGGGGCCTAGAGAAACAGCATAGCAGAAAGTGGGCATCAAGAGCTTGGAATCTGAAACCAGAAAGGCTGACTTGGAATTCAATTTCCCAACTGTATGTCCTTGAGAAGTTACTTAAACTCTAAACCTCTGTTCCCTCCCTGTAAAATGAGGACATGTATGTATTGCCAATGCTGAGCTCTTTTAAGGATAAATGAGTTAATTTGTTCAGTGATTAGCAAATTATTATTATTAATATTGTCATAGACTTTTAAGGATATAACCATCCACTAAACACCAGTGAAACAGAAAGGATGGGGAAAAAAACATTTATCACCTCTTTGTATTGAAAAGACAGGGCAGAGATCCTTGAAAAGGGAAAAAAAAATTATGCTTCTGCTTCTGGGGAAATGGGACCTGCATTGACAGGACTGGTATTCCCAGGGCTCAAGGCTTTGCAGCTGGGCCTGCCCTGAGCTATACAATGAATAAAATCTTATTAATCTAAGGGTTTACAATAAAGCCATTGTCATTGAGTTATGACTTGAAAGCAACTGTTGTATAAAGAGTCTGGATTTCACATCCAGAAAGCTAAGTTTCAACAGTTTCCCATAATGAATATTTTGAAAGTTTGACTGAGCCTTCTTTTCCAAAGAGGATGCTTTTGAGCATCGTGTTGTTGGTGTTTGAAATGTGTGAAATAAACTTGCACAATTTATCCATGGCGACCTACAGAGACATGCTGTCCCCTTTTAAGCCCTTCTCTAAGAAAGAAAAATGTCTCACTGTACATTCATCAACTTTACACAGAAATTTTATAGGAAAGTGAGAGGTTACTGTGTAAGCCCGTCTTGCCCTCGACTGCTAGTTTCTCTCTATATAGGGGATGTGGTGGTGGGGCTAGTGGGTGAAAAGGCTTTTAAAAATCACTGTACATCTGCTAGCAAAAAATAATCTGAAATGCTGACATTCAACACAGAAGTGACTGTGTATCTTTAAGACTGTAAGATGCAAGCTTTTGCATCTCCGTTATGTTTGTTTATCTTTCTCCTAGTCTTCCACCAAATTATCCTCTTTTTACATAATTGTTATTATTATTACAAAATTTTTAATGTTAACATATTGTTTTTCACATGAAGAGTGCTATGAAAATACAACCAAAAAATAGAAAATTATTACCCCATCAGTTTTAAAACTTCATATAATTCATAGTCTAGAGTTGGAAAGGGCTCTTAATACATATACAAGAGATAGGTAGCCTCTTTAAAAGGAATATCAGGTAGGCTGTTTGGAAATGATATTTAGTTGAGATTTGAAGCAAGTGGCACTCATCCAGAAGTGATCTACTATGCAAACCTTAACTTTGCTCATGTAAATCTTCAATTACCCTCTTTCTTCTTCAACCCCCCGGAGAAATCCCTTCTACCAATCTTTTAAATTGAGATAAAAGGTTACTTAACATTATTTTCCTTCATGTATTTCTACCATACCTAGGTAGAATAAATTATGCCCTAATCTGATTTCAACATTCAGTTTGAAGATACTTTTTCCAGCATTTACCACGTATACATTACTCTGTTCACTCATTAATTTGTAAGTCATCATGAAGCACTTGACAGAGGACATGTCTGTGCTAAGCAAGACAGCATTCCTGCCCTTCCCAAAGGAAGGATTAGAAATTCAATACATTGCACAGAGGTGAGGAATTGAGAATCCTAAGAATCTTGATGTGTCAGAAAAAAGTCCTTGGAAAAGTGCTATATAATGAACTGGAATATGAGGAATCTGTCAGCAAGTGATGTGGGTGGTAAACAACATTCTAGTCTGAAGAAGTATGACTATAAAAGGTTACAGGTAAAATCAAACATGATCTAGAGAAAAAGAGTGTCAAGACTTTCATGATGGGAATGGAAAAAGAGCATGAAACGAGCTTGGGAAGTAGTGGCCAGATGGTAGAGGACAAGCTAACCTTTGTTAAGTGTATGATAAGGCTCATCCACATGGTGATGTGTAATCACTAGAGAGTTTTATAGAGAGAAGAATGATTGGATGACATTTTGATTAGTAAAGGTCTTCTGGCAATAGGTGATAGAGTAGAAAAAAGGATTAAACCAAGATGTGGAAAGAACAGTGGGGAGAATGGGGCCATAAGCTGTGCATGTCATTGTTACTCTTCAGGTGACTGAGTCCCACTTAAGGGTAAAACTATTTGTTACAGTGGAGGTATTGAATCCCCTCACTATATAACTGTGTTGATGTTTTTCCGATCTTTTGCATCCACATCCAGTAGTGTTTGCTTTATGGAGGTGAGTGTGCTGTTGTTCAGGATAAATATATTTGTAATTGTATTTCCTCCTGAATTGTTCACTTTACCAATATATAGTGATTTTTTTTTTTTTTTTTTTTTGCCTCTTCTGATCAGTTTAGGGTTGAAGTTCACTGTGTTTGAAAATTGTATGGCCACACCTGCTTGTGTTGTGGCTCCTGTTGCATGGGATATTGCTTTCCATTCTTTGATTTTAGTCTATGAATGAATTTCATTTGATCTAGCTATTCCTCTTCTAGTGCCTTCCCAAAAGTGCTAAACGATATTATAAAAATACTTACAGACTCTTGTTTATAACAGCTTAATTCATAATAGCTGAACCTTAAAAGTGGCCCCATTTCCATCAGGAGAGTGGATAAAGAAAATGTGATATTCATACACAATGGTGTACTATTCTTCCATAAAGGAAGATAAACTGTAGTCATCAGAAAAATGGGTGCTTCATGAGATTATAATGTTAAGTGTAATAAACCAGACACATATGGTTAAATATCACATGGCTCCCTTTACATGAGAAATTTAAAACATAAATAAAGAGCAAAGTGAAACCTAGATTAATAGGAAAAAGAGAGAAAGGTTTCTTTTTTTCAAAAAGGAAGGGGACCCAGAGATGGAATAAGGGGGTGGGGAGAAAGGTGGGAGGGAATGAAACGAAAAAAAGGATTAAGATGCGTTATCTGCAAGTACCAACTTCTCATGAGAAATTTAATCATTATGTACTGCACATATGTATCAATAAACACTGAAGAAAACCTAAGATTTTCTAGGGAAAAAGGAGTAAAACTGTGTCTTATTCACCTTGCCGTACCTGCAATGACTAGGAAACAGTTCAGTTTAACTAACACTGATCCCAACTGAAGGAAAACTCTAAAACCTAAGAACAGATTTCACAATTTCTTCAAATATTATTGTAACAAGATTTATTTTGTAAATTTCTTTTACATTGTTGAAGTCCTTACATACCTGTTTTGATTTTGGGTGAAAGTTAAATCATGATGCAAGAGGTAGTTAAATAATAAAACTAAATGAACTTTTAAAGGCACACTAAGGTTCTTCAATTCTCTTCTATCCATCATAGTTCAGAGTTTAATTTCACTCTGTGGCATTGACCAAGTCATCTTGTACTGCTGCTTTTTAAATTTTTTTTAGAAGGCTTTTAAGGATGAATTTACTACAGCTAAATCTCTTGTGGCATATATACTTATTGCATTGACTCTTCTGTCTGGATCCATAGCACCTTACAGCAGCTGTGGAATGATGAAAATCAGCTTCATTGGATGTGAGGAAGAACTTCAAACAAAGCAGAAAATACCTATGTGCTCAAGGTCAGATGATGCAAGGGTCATGCATCAAAGTACCTGCCTAATGCAGGAGCCAACTGCTTAAAAAGTCAAGGAAAAAAACACTCACATTTTGGAAGGGAAAGACTCCAAAGAATTGTATTTATAACTGACGGCATACTTTTTTATTTTAAGTGAAATGGATATAACCTATTCTGTTGTTTCCTAGGTAACTTTTTTCAAAGCAATTGCATTAAAAATTATCACAAAGACACTTTTGCAAAGTGTCAATTATGAGAAGAAATTTCTATATACAGGAGATAGATAATATGAATGTTACTTTTAAAAAATCATAATAATTAAGGATTTACATTTATTAATGTTACTTAGATAAAAACATGCAATGTTTAGATAAACTATATAATTTTATTATAAAAATTGCATTTTGTTGTTCATACTTAACCTAAGTGTAACTGGTTATCAATATTTCTTCTATCATCTTGTAGAATGACATACTAATACATTACAGAGCAATGTAGATCATTTAAAAAATATTTGGGATGCTGTGTTGATTTGTATCTCAAAGTTCAATGTTTAACTCCATTTTTGTCCAACTGATGAAATCTTGGAAGCAAGATGTGAAATTTATTAATAGAAGGTAATAAATAGGGTCAGTTTTCCTTATTGCTACTTACTTCCTTGGAAAATCATTTCAACAATCGGATCAACAACTATCTCTTTTAAAGTATAATTAGGTGCAAGGCATTATGTTATCTTTGAAGGTAATACAATATGTATAAGCAAATGAACCTGTGCATGTAAATGCCAAAAGAGTGGATACACACACACACACACACACACACACACACACACACA